GGGGGGGAAGAGGATGAGAATGACGATGAAGAAACGAAGGAAGAAACGACGAAGAAGAAGAGAGGAGAGGAAAGAGAGAAGAGGAAAGAGAGAAGAAGAAAGAAGAAAAATAATAATAATAATAATATCGTACATGCGCCGTGTCGTTGGCGATTCAGGATCATTGATGATGTGGCGACGATGACGATGACGTGGCAATGTCGACGTTGCAGATGGTGGCGACAGGAATGACGTGGCAATGCCAATGACGAAGATGATGATGACGATGATGGCGTTGCGTCGTTGAGCAGTGACGAGGAAGAGGAAGAGCAGCGACGCTGGGAGAGAGAGGGACGTAGACAAAGTGGCAAAAGTCGCGAAGTCGCAGTCTTGAATTCCTGAACAAAATGTCGAAGCAAAGTCACACTGAACACAAGCACTGAGGCTGAAAACTTGGTGCTCGTACAGGGCTTGAGTCCGTACATAAGTACCGGACTCAAGTACCGTCCTGAGGGCAAAAGTGAAAATGCCTCAGGGCCAGAACTGAAAATCGAAAGTCTGAGAGTGGGCGCCAGAATGTCGGATGACACCAAGTGTCTGAAATCCGAAAGTCCCAAAAGAAGCAATTTGAAAACGGGCACTAGAATGCAGATGGCGCCAACTGTCTGAAATCAGAAAAGCAAAAACAAAAAAAAGGAAACAAATACAGCAAGTTGGTGGGTGGTAACCCACAAACCAGGGATCGAGACCTGGCCAAGTCCGTAACAGACGCTTCTGGCTACGACATTGGTGAAGTTTTGGAACAACACGACGGAGTAGATTGGCATCCGGTTCAGCCAAGAGGTGCCACTCATCAACTCGGGTTGATGATGTGCGGAAGAAGGAGTTGCTCGCTTTCGTCACTGTACTTAAGAGTTGGCGACACATCCTCCCCAGGCGTCGTAGGTTCACTTGGGCAACGGTCAATAATCCGTTGACCTACTACAAGATGCAAGACACGGTGAGCAGCACTACTGCTCGGTGGATGTACTTCATCGATCAATTTGACTTCACACCGAAGCATATTTCGGGTCTCTCAAACCGAGCCGCCGATGCTCTCTCGTGAAGATTAGATCTTTGTGCATCGATTCATCACGTTTTCGACTTCGACGACGACCGACATCAGCATTTTGTGCGCGCATGCAAGTCAGCTCCGAAGTACACCACTCTTTACGAGCAGCTCTCTTTAGATTACCCGCCGGCCAGCCATTATCGCATTTCCAACTGCTACTTGCTTCTCCATTCACGAGGCAAGGACCTACTATGCGTTCCACGAGACCGTCGATTATGGACTCGCCCTCTCGGTGAGTACCACGACTCGCACTCGACGGCCACTTCGGAGTCAACCGTACGATCACAAGACTTCGACAACGATTCCGGTGGCCCCACCTCATTACATATGTCACTCGATATTGTGAATCTTCCAAAGTTTGCCTACGAAGCAAGCCCCGCAATTGCAATCCCTATGGCGAGTTGTGCCCATTGCCCATCCCTTGAGAGTCATTGCTATGGATGTGACCGGCCCATTCCCCCTCGATCGCTTTGGGCACGACGGCATTCTCACGGTCGTTGACCGTTTGAGTAAGTACGCGCGGTTTCTTCCTTGCAAGTATCAGGCCACGGCTCCCGAGCTCGCGGGACTCTTGCACATTGGCTGGACTTGCAGCCAAGGCGTTCTGGAGGACATCGTTAGCGACCGCGACACTCGCTTCATGTCAGCATTTTGGACTTCTCTCATGAACGAGTCCAGCACCGAGATGATTGGCTCGACATCCACAACGAACGGGCGGACTGAGCGGGCACATCAAACCGCTCAAGTGATGCTCTGTACGCTCATCCGTCCGGACCAAAAGGATTGGATTGACTACCTCCCCGACATCAAGTTCACCTACAACACTTTGTTGCACCCGACGATCGTCGTGACTCCATTCGAGTTTCACCACTGTGGCCAGAAGGCCGTATCTTCACTGATCTTTTATTTCCACGGACTGTCGACATTGACGCCCCTTGCTCTCCCGGCTCCCTTCAGAAGTTCCAGGACTTGCTGGCCCAAGCCCACGCCAACATGCAGAAGACTCACGTCCGCATGCAGCAGCAAGCCAGTCGGCGTCGCGTGCGATGTCCTATCCGCGTCGGCGACCTTGTTTGGGTCTCCGTGGAAGAGTTTGCGCTCGAGCAAGACGTTTCGCGCAAGCTACTTCCCAAGTGGTTTGGACCTTGGACCGTCACATCATCCGCGGGCGACAAGCCCGATAGCCCATCAATGTGATCGACATTCCGCCGCAGCTACCGGTCCACCCGGTCTTCCACGCCTCCAAGCTGGCTACGTATACTCGACGATCGCAGGACCCTCCGTCTATGGATGGTCATCCGGAGATCGATCGCGTCATCACGCACCGCAAGTACGGCAACAAGCCAATGCAGTATAAGGTCACATTCAAGTGGTGTGATCGTGACGACACATGGTGGATTTCACAAGCAGACCTGCAAGCATCCATGCCACTGATCTACGCCCACTACAAGTGACAACGACTAGCCAAGGAAGCTGCACAACCTGCCCCTCCCACCTGGACTTCGGTCCCTCACTTCAACAGACAGCTTCGCCCTCGCAGGTAAGCTCGGTCTTTCAAGGAGGGGGGGTGTGGCATTCTCTGCTCCACAAGGGCCCTCAGGGCCCGGTCCGTAGGCTTAGGGGTTAGCGGGGTTAGTAGGTCCACTTAGGCCGACTAACACTAGGTCTGGCGCGTCGTTTCATTGCGCCAGGGCCCCAGTTAGAGGCCCAGTTAGGCCAGCAGCAGGGGGCACAGTCCCTGGCCGCCGCTTCGTTTGAGCACCAGGCCACGGTACCGTTCGAGCACCAGTTTAGGGGCCAGACTCTTTCGTTTTCACGGTACTGTTGGCCACCAAGTTTAGGCGCCAAGACTTTCCACTCAGGTCACTACCTGAGGCCGGACCAGCGTTATATATAGCTGGTCGGCCTCAGTTTGGGTAGGCATTCTTCAGGTGTAGATGTAGTCGACGATAGGTAGAGCTGATTAGTATCCCAGTGCTGGCTGGTGCGTTAGGTTTCGGCCACGAGCTTGACCTGCAGTTTACTGCAGCGAAGGTTAGGGAGAGGTTCGGCTATGGCGGAGGCCAGGTGACTTACCTGATGACTTACCTGTGACGCCATCGCTCCAGCTTCGCCCGCAGTGCATCTCCATACCTGCATCAAGGGGACACCTTTCGCAGGTCAGTACCTGAATGCATGGCATATGACTACTCCATGTGAGCATAGTACGACTTTGTACAAGGCAACATTCTTAGGGGAGAGGAGGAGAGGACAACCCACCCCATTGCATCTGACCACCACCGAATGGCTGTCGATATTCTGCAAATCAGCGTATGATAGACATAATCCCGCAAAAGAAAGCCATATCGTACAACCAGAAGTCAAAACAAAACAAGACACAGATGTCATCAGATCAACCCCGAGCAGTAACTGCCACTATAGATTTAACTGTCTAGTGTCTAAAACCACCATTCCCAGGTATGTGCACAACCAAAGCTTGTCTACATTCAACAATCATTTGGTAGATTATCCAAGTCCTGACGCCTGCCAGGCTAATTTTAACTTTTCCGGTCACTCACTATAACGGAGGAAAAGGCACATACCCATGCACCAAAATCTCAGACCAATGATCATCCCTCCTTCTTCTACTTCTCCTTCTTCCTCTTCTCCTCCTCCCACTACTCTCTTTTCTTCTTCTTCACATAAACACAAAAGAAACAGCCGATGCAGTTGCCAGGTGTTTCATTAACACAAAAGCGATTATATCTAATGGAGTTGGATGGCTTGGTTGATTGCTTTGCCTCCTCATATACTTCGTAAGGAATTGTTCGAGTCAAAAGGTAAAGAGCATACTAAGAGTAGTCAACAAGAGGTTTGGCTAAAAGCAAAAAGAAAAGAAAAGAAAAGGACGAGGATTGTATCAGGAATTAGTACCATTTACATACGATGATAGAGTTAAGCAAAGGACATGAGGATAAAAAAGTAAAAGGGAAATTCAAAATCGAAGACGAATATTCTTTTCTCAAACCTCTTTGGGAGCTCATATGCTGTCATCTTCCAGTTGTATGGCATAAGAATGCTACCGTCGGGGCCATGTTACACATCCACCGGGCTTTTCTCAATAGCCTTCGTGAAGATTCCAACCTTTCTAAAGCAGAGGGTCATGTAAGCTTTTGGATGAGTGGGGTGAATGATGTCACCCCAATTTTTCAAGGGGCACTACTGCAAGGGCGTAGAAAGCCTGTGAAGCTGGTGATCAAGGAAGCACACCAATTTTTTTAGGATTTAAAATTGCAATCAAAGAATAGCTCTGAAGGAGGTGCGCCAAATTTAGGAGTATAATTCGCAACCAAGACCTCAAATAGCCCAGACCTCTGTACAGCCCCGCATGCTGACAGAGTACAGCGCAGGTCCCAGCTATGGCCGGCGCTCCGAGGGTCTGGCTATGTCTGTCTCCCTCAACGCTGAGCCGTCACCACTTCCAGTTCACGTGTTGCACAGCAGCGATGTACTCGGTACCAACTGCCAAAAGCCCTGAACCGATGTGCCTATCCTATCTATAGTATACTCTAGCCTGGACTCGACCTAGACCGGACTGACTGACCGACCGGTACCATTTCTGTTTCGGTCTCTAGGGCCTTTTCCCTACCCGGGCTATAGGCTATAGGACCGTCTATCAGCTTAGGCCCTTAGGGCCTGTCTGTCCTAGGGGTAGCCCGGGTCTGCTATTCGCAGTTAGGGTAGCTGTAGGAAATTCAGTTAGTACGGGCCTGTATTTTCCCAAATTTGCAGATATGTCCCTCACGAATTTCCTCACAGTCAGCTGTCGCGGTTAGCCCTCAGTCAAACAAAATTACGAAACTAACCTAAGACGCGACACGACCGAGGCAAGCCCCGAGCTTCGCCCTCGGGCCAATGTACAGTCCACTGAGAATCTGCAGGCTTCATTACATCGGTGTGAGGAAGAGCATTTTGCTCGAGAGTCGAGGCACAAGTGGCATACAACCTTGAGAGTACCACTTCTAGCGTATCTGGTGGGAGAAGGGTGGCGTACTGGAAGGGCCCTGCTGATGATGTGGGAGTAGATCACACATGCATGCGCAGTATACACTCTGCTTCAGCCAGTGCATAGAAGTTGTCTTGAGGGTGGCCATATTGTCCTGTTGCGCCATTACATAATTCTTGATTCATCATCCTGCTGAGGCGTTAAAATATTCTTGAGTTGTCTATGCTGTGGTGCTGGCTTCCCTCTTTAATGCTATGTACAGGGTGGGTCCGATTTTGGTTCCGTGCACGCTGTTCACTCGGTATAAACCATCAGCTAAGGGGGTGGGAATGAGCAAAGCGTCAAATGGGTGGATGCTAATGTATACTGGACTGTTGTAATCACTAGATTCCGTTTGTCATACTTTTTTTTTTTCCGCTGTGCAATTACAGCTTCTTTTCGTTGATTAGGTGTCTAGGTGTCTACAACTGATGCAGTAAGTTTATAACAGTCGGTCCTGGGTAGTAGGGATTAGACTAATTAGTTGAGTAGTCAGTACTCAGATAGGACAATCAGATGTACAGACTGCACCTGCAAGAGACTGGGGGTTACTCAGAGGAATAGTGGTCATGAAGTTTTGGGTTAGCAAAATCATTTCACATCCAAATCAGTTGCAAATCAGCAGAAGGCCGTAGATTCCGACCTTGCACAGAACAGTGATTGTCCCTGCTTCAGATGAGCGATCGTGTGACACGGCAGCACACTTGGGATAAGCCTATAGCAGCCATGACTTGGGATCCATACAGGAAGAGGCTAGACGAATGTGCTCTCGTTCCGTCTTCACAATGTAGGTCAAGTCAGGTGCAAGTACAAGGACCACACAGGCCCAAGTGTCCCCAGCATAGATAGTGTTCATCACCAAGGCCGGAGCGACACTATAGCAGAGGCTGGACATGCAAAGGATGTTGCAGTTTTAGCCTGCAATGTCATCAGTTCCTCCCTCATCCGGTGGACAGCCTGTGGCGCTTTCTCGAGCTACTGCCAGACAAAGGCAGAACAAGACGTAAGTCTGCAAGATTGGCAGAGTGAAAACAAAGATGCATAGAATGGCTTGAAATTTGTGAAAAAGGAGGAGAAGGCTAGAGACCAAAAGGGCTTGATGGAGGGATTAGAGGGATGTCAGAGTGGAGTGAGAAGTGTGTCACAGAGAGAGAACCTCAGTGACGTTCAGAAGGCTATGTGTAACAGTGCATTGGCTCTGCACGTGTTAGCGAGCCTCGATACCATGTCCTTAGAATCTGAACACTTCTCTTACAGGTGCCACCGATAGGTTGGCCAGGGAAATCATAGTGCTGCGACAAGCAATCCCTCAGGTGTTGTTGATCCCCCCCTCACTGGCATGACAGCAAGACTTAAAAACAAAAAAAACAAAAACAAAAAAAACAGAACCTTAGGGTTCCGGCTCTTTTTCCATTCTGGGGAGCACCAGTCCGGTTCCTATTCCAAGTCAGAAAGGATCACAAATATTACCCACTCACACTCCTCCCCCTTATGGTGTGGAGGTCCGAAGGACAGCATTGATTACTTCCCAAAGGAACTCCTCCCCCTTATGGTGTGGAGGTCCGAAGGACAGCATTGATTACTTCCCAAAGGAAGGATGTACCACCCTTCACCCCTGCCTAAGATACCCCATTCAACTGGGGTTCTGCTCTTATCCTAGCTCTCTAGTTTTTTCCACTTGCCTACCTAGACCTCAAACAACATGTCCCTCTCAGCTTCCTGTTAGATTTTCTATGCTCACTAGAACCGCTGCTTGGATCTTTTGCCCTGATCTTGTAAACATCTGCTCCTTGTGCGAGGATCCGGGTCCTCGACAGGCCTAAGGGGGCCCCTGTTGCATCTGCGCCCGCCCTAAGTGAAGGAGGGCCTAACAAATCACGAGAAGCCCTCGGCTGTCAATTTTGTATTTGGGGTCCAGGCAGTTTCGTTTCGCCAGTTGGTTGAAAATAACACAGGCCAAGCAGTGAGAAAATTCCACGGCCTTCTAGGCTTTTCCAAAAGCGCAGGCCCTGGGTGAGATTCACAGCCTCATACACAGACAGTTGGGAAGCCCAACCGCATGAGGCCCAGTAGCTGCACCAGAGGCGCAGCATCCTGCGGCCTACCGGAAGCTTCTGGGCCCAGGCCCAGGCCAGCCAGGCTGCGAAGGCAGGCAGGCTCTTTCCATATGGGAAAGAGCTCGCTGCCTGGGCGGGCATTCAGCACTTGCATGCTGGAGCAGATGCTCGTGGGCTGCTGCTGGCGCTGAGAGGCAAGGTGCTAGCGCGTGCGGTCGTGCAGGGAGCAGGGTGCTGCTGAGGGCAGCGCCATAGCCCAGCCTCCGTAGCTGGTTGGGCTTGGACTACACTGAGGCGCAGGGGTGTTCTTTGGGTGTACAGAGGGGAGACGTGAGAGAGAAGGATGGTGATGATGATGTGAGGGCACATACCTGGTATTGGCGATGGTCTGCATTGGGCGACATCTTCAAGTACTTCGTGATCTGCTGACGTAAACAGTTGCATTGTCAATTAGTAGGCAGACTGTAGCTGTGTAGGAAGTAGGCTGGGCGCAGAGCGCCAAGTAGGGAGATAGGGCCTGGACACTCATGTTGGTGGTGACGAGAGCAAGCTCTCATTGACATTGGTTGTCAGTGTTACGATTCTTCATTGGTGTTATATTGGTGCATTTCTGCTTTCTGGACAATGTGATACTATCTGGCCTTCAATGTGATCGTGCATTCTGGACATTGTCATCTCACTAATGCTCATTTTCCTTGCAATTTGGTATCGGAGCTGGTTCGAACTGCGCTTCATTGATTCTTCGCAATAGCTGGTTGGTGCTTCACAGAAAGTGTGGGCCAGTGATAACGCTTTGGCGTTGAATGATTGGCAGCCCAGGGTCATGTGGGCGCGCCAGGAAGCTATGTGGTGCCATGAGGGGTGTACGCTGGATGATGAGAGCTCGCTGATGCGGCATTTAAGCCGAGGTGGAACTGCATTCTGCTGTTGGTTGCGCCGAGGCAAAGACCGGTCATCATAAATGCACATCAGGTTGCCGGTGAGAAATCTGTGGTTAGGGGCAGCATTATGATCAATTGTGACGAAGGGCGGGTAGTAGGAACGACAGGAGAGAGAGCGAGCGAG